AAAAAAACTGTTGCACTCCCCTTAATTTTTCCAACAATTTCAGAATAATAATAATTCAAAATTATAAAAATTATCCAGGTTTTAGTCAAAAATCCTGAACCGATTTTGAAAATTGACAAATCGTTTCAAGGTATTCATTTGGGAATCGTGCTAATTAATTCTTGGCAAAGATCAGCCGGTACGTTTCTTCGTAATTATTACAATATTAAATACAGTGATAGTGTTTGTTACTTGAACAAACATGCTAAAATATTATAGGCCAGCAAAAAGTGATTAGGTTTTCATAAATTCATTAAACTTTGGAATTGGAATTTGAAATGACATACACTTTGAAAGCGCGTTTCATACAACTTGTTTTAGGAAAGTGCTACTTACGCCTAGTTTCTTTATAATTTCATAAAACGATTAGTGTAAGTTCAGAATACAAACTTCCCATAGGGTGAGTTATAGTAATCGCAAAAAAATCTAAAATAAAAATTCTTATATATCTTTACGTTTCAAAAGTTTCTGAACATTTTGGCATACCTTAGAAAAAATGGATTTCGAGAACACTAATCAACCGATTTGAATAATTCAAAAAACATTCGATTCGTATTGATAAGGAGACGTGCTGATTAGTTTTTGGCGAAGGCAGGTCTAAAAGTTCCCAAGATACGGGGCAAAAAGTGCCAAAAACGGTAACTCAGTTTTTAAGAGAACGAAGCGTCCGATTTTAATAATTCAAAGAACATATTACTTGTATTGACAATATGAAGAACTGAATAAATTTTTGGGAAGGCAGGTCCGGCGGTTATGGACTCTCAATAAAAATAAGTCAAAAATTTGGCGGTCAAAAATGTTTATTGGACATATGTACATCAAATTATCAGATATTTTATAGAGATTTTAATAATACGTACGCATTTTGTGTAATTTTTTTTGGGTTCCGTACCAAGATTTTTAATTACAGTACGTGAAGTTCCAGCAACTTGCCTTAAGGCACGATGCCATGCACCCCACTACTGTCAATAAGCAAAATGAAAATTCCAAAAATAATTTTGCAAAGTAGCTCTATATTATATAAGAATGTTCACACCTGTTATGAACCTTTTGATAAAAAAACATGATTCCAAATAGTAGAAAATTACTATAAAGTATTTATTGCAAGAAAAATTACAATATACTTTTGTTGTGCATTAATTTTCAAAAAAATGAAATATATTTTTGTGTATAGTTTTTGTGTTTGTGTTTGTGTGTTTTTAGTGAATGGTGAAATTGTAAAAAATAAACATTTAGGAAATATATTGGCTATATTACCAGTGCCATCGCCAAGTCATCATATATGGTAAGTAAAAAAAATATATACACCACATATGGCAACCCAAACGGTTGTCCTATCTCTATGTAAAGAATTCTATTGTTTAAATTTTTGTATTGGTGAAGAATTTAACTAATGCCGGATAAGGGATGTTAGATACATATGGATTTCTATATTTTCAAGTAAAAATCGATGTCACTACTGCTTGACATCAGGTTGTCCGAAGCGGGTATCAAACATGGCGACTTCAAATTGAAATTCCATAGCTCTAACCAAGAGGAAACACGAAATAATAATAATAAATGGTATTTTTCAAACTTTGTGTAGTTAAAGAATTTTTAACATCTTTAAACATTAAATATACAACGAAACAACTCTGTTGTCATGGCAACGTATTGTTACAGTCCAATCTTAATATGAATTGGAACTGGCAAAAAATATGTAATTTGCTGTGCAGGTGGGGGTTTTTAGATATAAAACTTAACCTACCCTAACTATAGTGATGCATGGCATCGTACCTTAAGTCAAATTGCTGGAATTTCCCGTACCAAAATAAAATTTACAATTACAATTTTTTTGAATTTTTAGTTTTAATTTTTTAAGGATTTTTGGACCCCCCTCCCCTTTGTTGATACGTGGTGATATTCAAAAATATCCCCCTCCCCCTTGTTGATACGTGCTGATATTCAAAAATACCCTCCTCCCCCTCCAACATCACGTGTATTTTTAGTTATGATTTGAGAAAAAATGGTAAAATTTTTGATTTTTTTTTGAAGATGTTTAGATTATTTATATAAAATTGGAGTTAAAAATAAATACACGAGATATCTTACTATACCCCTCCCTCCCCACGTGATATTTTGTGATTTTTGTCAAACCCCTCGCTCCCCCTAAAAATCTCACCTGATTAATGGACGCCCCCTTAAACTTTGAAAAAATTGGATTTTTGAGAATTTTTTAATTTCAAAAAAAGTCATTTCTGAAAAATTAGATTTGTTTTTATTATTTGAAATATTTTGGAAATTTAGAACTCTTTTCAAAGAAATCGCGCTGCGTAGAGACGAAATATCAAAGCGCGTAAGCGCCTCTAGAAAGTCAAAGGAATGATAATTGGTTCAGAACCCATAGAAATGCCATACTTCAAATATATCTATTCAATATACATTTGTTTTATTATTTTCACTATACAATCAAAGCAATCATACTCACGCGACACGACGACCAATCACAATCGATCCGTATAAAAATGATATAATCGAGAGCGAATGACGAATCATTGGCACTCGACTCGACCGTAACGTTTTTTTTCGTTGCATTTGTACATATTTACTCCCTAGTCGCGCCTAAAGAAGTTTTACTTTAAAACTGTTTTCTTATTAATAAAATATTTTATAATTTGATGTGCAATGACGAATGATTGGCACTCGACTCGACCGTAACGTTTTTTTCGTTGCATTTGTACATATTTACTCCCTAGTCGCGCCTAAAGAAGTTTTACTTTAAAAATATTTTCTTATTAATAAAATATTTTATAATTCGATGTGCAATGACAAATTATTGGCACTCGACTCGACCGTAACGTTTCTTTCGTTGCATTTGTACATATTTACTCCTTAATCGCGCCTAAAGAAGTTTTGCTTTAAAAATGTTTCCTTATTAATAAAGTATTTTATAATTTAATGTGCAATGACAAATCATCGGCACTCGACTCGGCCGTAACGTTTTTTTCGCTGCATTTGTACATATTTATTCCCTAGTCGCGCCTAAAGAAGTTTTACTTTAAAAATGTTTTTTTTATTAATAAAATATTTTATAATTTGATGTGCATATGTATAAATAATCATTTTTGACCGCCAAATGGCATTTTTTTCACTTTTTTACTAGATCTCCGAAACCGCTAGACCTGCCTTCCCAACAATTTAATCAGTTCTTCATCTTGTCAATACAAGCAAAACGTTTTTTGTATTATTAAAATCAAACGCTCCGTTCTCTTAAAAACTGAGTTACCATTTTTGGCACTTTTTGACCTGTATCTTCGAAACGGCTAGACTAGTTTTGCCTTTGCCAAAAACTAATCAGCACGTCTCCTTATCAATAGAAATCGAATGTTTTTAAATTATTCAAATCGGTTGTTCCGTGCGCCCGAAATAGTCGACGAAAATTTTTATCCACACCCACACACACACACACACATCCATTTTTTCTAAAGTATGCCAAAACGTTCAGAAACCTTTAAAACGTAAAACGGTTATTTTAAATTTGAACTATTGGTGCATGGCTACGAGCCGAATGGCAAATTGTTGGATCTTTCCGTACCAAAAATTAATTTTTTTAAAAAACCTTTAACTTTTGAAAAAAAAATAGATTATTGAAAATTTTGAAGTTTCTGAAAAAAATTGACTTTATTGAAAAATTTGAATTTTTTCATATACGAATATTTTTTTATATTTTAAATTTTTCTGAAAATTTTTAACTTTATTTCAAAGCAATTGTGCAGCGTTGCTGTTTTAGAGAAGAAATATCGAGCGGGTAAGCGTCGATGAAATTTTGTATCCCACACATTCATTATTTCTAAGGTATGCCAAAACGTTCAGAAACCTTTCAAACCTAAATATATGCATATAAAGATTTAATCAACTTCCCGTAGGGTAAGTTATTGTAAGGGGACGAAAATCGAAATTAAAAATTTTGACGTTTTGAAGGTTTCTGAACATTTTGGCACACCTCAGAAAAAATCGATGTGTGTGTGTATGTATGTATGGATACAAATTTCCAGTCACGTTTTCGGGCGCACGGATCAACCGATTTGAATGGTTCAAAAAACATTCGATTCCTATTGATAAGGAGATGTGCTGATTAGTTTTTGGCAAAGGCAGGTTCAGCAGTTACGGAGATAAAGGGCAAAGAGTGCAGAAAATAGAAATCGAGTTCTTGAGAGAACGAAGCATCCGATTTGAATGATCTAAAAAACACTCATTAGTAATGATTGGGAGAAGTGTTTATTAGTTTTTAGCAAAGGCAGACCCAGCAATTTCGAAGATACGGAGCTAAATGTGTAAAAAATTGCAGTTTTTGAGAGAACTAAGCGTCCAATTTAAATGATTCAAAGAACTTTCTGCTTGTCTTTACGAAATAATTGATTTTGGAAAACAAAATTTTTGTTTCAACTTTTTTAAAAAAAAAAAAAAAATTTTGAATATCGAAAATAATTCAGATTTTATTTATAATTCTGACTATAGTTCTAATAAACAAATAATTTCAACTTTGCAATTCAGTTTATATAATTCTTATAAATATTAGACAATGTTACAATATTAATAATAATCTATTTGAAAACATTCAGTATTCCTCGAACATTTCGTTACGGTATGGGAAGTTCCAGCAATTTGCCTTAAGGCACGATGCCATTCACCCCACTAGTTTTTGTTTTTTTTTTCTGCAATTACTGTAACTTATCCTACGGGAAACAACTATTTTAAATTTGAAAAATATTTCTAAATGACATTTGAATGTTTCCGCCATCTTGACAGTTTCGAGAGTTCGTATACAACTTCACGCAGAACGAAACGTCAATTTGTCAAATGTCAAAAACGTCGAATTGCTTATCGACTCATAATATTAACAGTTAATGTTATTCTTTATAATAAATAGTGAAAATATCTATTTTATATATTATTAAACTCATATTTTATCCCAGACAGACATGTCTGAAGAAATAATAACATTTTCATGTAATGAAGTTAAAATTGAACCTTTAGAAGACGAAGACGAAGTGTCAGACAATGATTTTGACAGTTCTTCTGTGAAAAATGAAATTGATGATGATAATAATGAAGAGTCACCAAGTCCAGAAAATGATGATGCTGGTCAAGAACAGGAATCCCAAATCCTACAGTTACAACAATCAGTCGATGCTCACTTTCTAGAAAAGCCTTACAAATGTGACATCTGCCACAAATCATTCACTCAAGTAGGTAACCTGAATCAACACAAACTTCTGCATACCGGAATCAAAGCCTTCCAATGTCCACAATGCCCAAAAGCCTTTGTGCGCCAGAACAAGTTAACGGCACACCTCAGAACCCACACTAAAGAAAGACCTTACACCTGCCACATTTGCAACAAAACCTTCACCCAGCAACCTTCTTTAAGCAGACACATCCTCACCCATTCAGGAGACCGTCCTTACGAATGTGCAATCTGCAAGAAGACCTTTGTCCACAAAACAGGCTTGAAAGTTCACATGGTCACCCACACCGGGGAACGTCTCGTCAAATGCAAGATATGCAACATGGCTTTTGCCCAGTCCAGCAACATGGCTCGACACATGCGATCCCACACAGGGGAACGCCCTTATAAATGTCCGAAATGTGACAAAACTTTTGTGGAATCGAGTCATTTGAAAACACATTTGAATATCCATGCGGGTGAACGTCCTTATAAATGTGTTATATGCAGTCGAGCATTCACACAGTCTAGTAATTTAAATAAACATATGAAAATTCATACAGGTGACAAACTTAATAAGTGTACGATATGTGGTAAAGGATTTACAAGGGCTTATACTTTGAAAGTGCATATGATCACCCATACAAAAAAAAACCCTGTTAAGTGCGAGGTGTGTAAGAAGGCTTTTGTGAGAGCCGATGGATTGAAGAAACATATGAGTGTATGTGGAAAATGAATAAATGAAGTTGTGATGCAACATTTGTATTTAATATATTATAATAGTTAGAAATTGTATTAATAAAATTGTGTAAAATATTTATAAATTAGTGGTGTATGACATCAAGCCTTAAGGCAAATTGCTGGAACTTTCAGTACTGTAACAAAATGTTCGAGGAATATTAAATGTTTTCAAATAGATTATTATAAATATTGTAACATTGTCTAATATTTATAAAAATTATATAAACTGAATTGCAAAGTTTAAATTATTATTATATTATTTATATTATTATTATTTATATTATTTGTTTAAAGTATATTAGAACTTAAGTCAAAATTACAATTAAAATCAGAATTATTTTCAATATACAAAAAAATTTTTAAAAAATATTTTTTTTTCCAAAAGCAATTGTTTTGTCAACACAAGCAAGAAGTTTTTTGAATTATTCAAATCGGATGCTCAGTTCTCTCAAAAACTGCCATTTTTTGCACATTTAGCTCTGTATCTTCAAACTGGCTGACCCTACTTTTGCCAAAAACTAATCACCACTTCTCCCAATCATTACAAATTGAATGTTTTTTGGATCAATCAAATCGGATGCTCTGTTCTCTCAAAAACTCAATTTCTATTTTCTGCACTCTTTGCTCCGTATCTCCGAAACCGTTCGACCTGTCTTAGCCAAAAACTAACCACCACTTTTCTCCATCAGTACGAATTGAATGCTTTTTGAATCATTCGAATCGAATGCTGGGTTCTATCAAAAATTCAATTTCTATTTTCTGCACTCTTTGCTCCGTATTTCCGAAACCGTTGGACCTGTCTTAGCCAAAAACTAATCACCACTTCTCTTCATCAGTACGAATTGAATGTTTTTTGAATCATTCTAATCGGATGCTTAATTCTCTCAAAAACTGCCACTTGCACATTTAGCTCGGTATCTCTAAAAAGGATGTACCTGCCTTTGCTAAAAACTAATCACCACTTCTCCCAATCATTACAAATATAAAGTTTTTTGAATCATTCAAATCGGATGCTTCGTTTTCTTAAAAACTCGATTTCTATCTTTTACATACTTTGCTCTGTATCTCCGTAACGGCTGGACATGCCTTTGCCAAAAACTAATAGCACATCTTCCTATCAATAGAAATCGAATAGTTTTGGAACCATTCAACGCCTGACTGCGCAGCAATCATAAAAGGTTTTTGATAGCATTTAGTACGATTTTGTATAAAAACTGTTACATAACATAGCCTTGCTATAAATTGGTCCATTTTACGACAGAACCTTAAAGATCCACACATAGATAAAAAAGAATATATAGGTCTACACCAAGGCTTCTTAAACTTTTATTATTCGCCAACCCATTTATGATTGCGAGTTTGTTGACCAACACAAATATAAAAGAAAAACTAGTGGGGTGCATATGGCATCCGTGCCTTAAGGCAAATTGCTGGAACTTCCCGTACCGTAATTAAAAATCTTGGTACGGAACCCAAGAAAATTTACACAAAATATGTACGCATTATGAAAATCTCTATAAAATATCTGATAATTTGATCTGTGCATATATCTAATGGATATTTTTGACCGCCAAAAGGCATTTTTTCAACTTATTTTTATTGAGAGTCCATAGACCTGCCTTTCTAAAAATTTAATCAGTTTTTCATCTTGTCAATATAATTAAAACGTTTTTTGAATTATTAAAATCCGACGCTCCGTTCTCTTTAAAACTGAATTGTTCTTGGCATTTTTTGCCCCGTATCTTCGGAACGGCTAGACCTGCCTTCGCCAAAATCTAATCAGCACGTCTCCTTATCAATACGAATCGAATGTTTTTTTGAATTATTCAAATCGGTTGATCCGTGTTCCCGAAATCGTCGGCGAAAATTTGTATCCGCACATACACACACTCATACATCCATATTTCCTAAGGTAAGCAAAAATGTTCAGAAACTTCAGTAACTCAGTTTTTAAGAGAACGGAGCGTCCGATTTTAATAATTCAAAAAACATTTTACTTGTATTAACAAGATGAAGAATTGATCCAATTTTCATGAAGGCGATTTCGGAGATCTAATAAAAAAAGTAAAAATAAAGCCATTTGGCGGTCAAAAATGATCATAGAGATTTTAACAATAAGTATAATTTTTTTTTTTTTTTACATTTCTATGGGTTCCGTACCAATGCTTACCCGTTAGACGGCGGCGCTATGCAGTTCAAGCAGTACGATTGCTTTGAAAAAAAGTTCAGAATTTCCAAAATAAATCAAAATGAAAGAAAACATTTTTTTTTCAAAAAAAAGTGATTTGTCAAATTTATAGTTTCTCAAAAATCTAATTTTTTCGAAGTAATTTTTTTTTTTAAATGTTAATCGTTTTTAAAAAAAATAATAATTTTTGGTAGGGGAAGTTCCAGCAATTTGCCTTGAGGCACGATGCCATGCGCCCCACTAGTTATTCTTTCTTTTATATTTGTGTGGGGTCGTCAAGAAACTCGCAATCATAAATGGGTTCGCGAATGACAAAAGTTTAAGAAGCTCTGATCTAGACGTTATCTATTTTTTGACATTAAAATCTCTCGTTTAAATAATTTTCCTAGACGACTCTACTTGGGGTCGCGACCCATAGTTTAAGAAGCCGTGATCAACGCATATCGAAAAGATCATGCAACTTGCCTTGAGGCAAAAAATCACTTACATCTTTATTTAAATTTTAAAGTTAACTCTAAATTAGTTATAATTACTAATATAAGATGCATTTTAAAGTTAACTCTAAATTAGTTATAATTACTAATATAAGATGCATTTTAAAGTTAACTCTAAATTAGTTATAATTACTAATATAAGATGCATTTTAAGATATTTAACAGTAACAAATTAAATATAATCGATTTTTGTTCGATTATATCGTTGACAGATGTCATTACAGCCATGACAGAAACACTGCAACTTCAGACACGTGGCAAACGTCAAACGTCAAAATATTTTCATTTTTATTAATGGAAGACATAATTTTATATTTATATTTATAATAATTAGTATTGGCAAAATAAATAAATAAAAAGTTATTTGTATAAATAATTTTTGTCAGATGGTAATTAAAATTGAGCAAAGAAGTAGAAGAAATTCAAGAAAAAGATATTACTTTCAAGAACTACTTCTATAGTAAAAGTTGTAATTTAATGTTTATATTCATATTAATTTTGTAAATAGTTAAAGCACAAATGATTTGTGTCTTACAATATGAAGATGTTAACTATTAAAACATAATTGATTTATAAATATAAATAATTATTGAGTGCTTTGTAATTTTTACAAATATTTTCACAAAAAAGATGGACGTGTTACTAGAGAAACCAATTAAAACTGAGCCCCTTGAATATTCCATAGAAGAAATTGAAGATGACGAAATTTCTGTCAAACAAGAACTAAATGATAATGATGAAACATTTCCCGAACAATCTACACAACCTGCATCCACAATCAAACAAGAACCAACCGAGAATCATTTACCAAAACCTTTTACATGTGACATTTGTCACAAAGTATTCGCAAAACTAAAAAACCTCAAAATCCACGAAGTCATTCACAGTGGTCTCAAAAATTTCAAATGCACAATCTGCGACAAAGCATTTTCCCAATCTGCAAACCTAACAGTCCACCTCAGGATCCACAGAGGCGACAAGCGTTATGTATGCAAAACCTGCAACAAAGGCTTCACCCTCCGAGCAACCTTAAAAAAGCACACTCTGGTTCACACCGGAGAACGTCCTTTCAAATGTGGTTTATGTGAGAAGGCTTTCATAGACAACTCGACCCTAAGGAAACATGTCCGTATCCACTCAGGAGACCGTCCTTATAAATGTGATATTTGCGGCAAGGCCTTTACTCAAAATGTGACTCTGAGGATGCATTTGCGTACTCATAGTGCTCCTTCAAAATGTGATATTTGTAATGAGACTTTTAGTGATATTGATGTTTATAAAAGACACATGGATACACATGCTGAAAAGTATCCCCATAAATGTGGTGTGTGCTTTAAAGTGTATATGCGGAGTGATGTTTTGAAAAGACACATGAAAATGCACAGATAATAAAGTGAGATATATAGAATTAATATTGTGAATGACATTATGTATAAAATGATAGTTTGTGTAAGAAGTGAAACTTCGTAATGTGGTAATAAAAATAAGAAGAAATTTGATTTTTGTTTGTGTAGTTGTGTTTGTATAGCATTTTACATATAATGGAAGTAAAATTTGTTAAAAAGTACAAAAGGTATTTATTGTATAAGAGAGAGAGAGAGAGAGAGAGAGAGAAAGAGAGAGATATATAGGTTATTAGAGAAAGAAAGAAAGATATATAAATTATTAGAGAGAGAGAGAGAGAAAAGAAAGAGAGATATATAGGATATTAGAGAGTGGGGGGGGAAGGTAGTAGATAGTGGGAGGAGAAAAAATGAGAGGGAAAGAAGGGATAAAGGTAATTAAAAATTTAGATAAAGAAGAAATAATAAAGAGAAAAGGATAGAGATGAATAGAGACATTATAAGAAAGAGAGATATATAGGATATTAGAGAGGGAGAGGGGAAAGGTAGTAGATAGTGAGAGGAGAAAAAAATGAGAGGGAAAGAAGGGATAGCTGTAATTAAAAATTTAGATAAAGAAGAAAAAATAGAGAAAGGATAGAGATAAATAGACATATTTAGAAAGAAATAAAGAGATAAGGAACAGAGGAGATAGATAACAGGTAGAGATAGAAAAGGAGATAAAGATGAATAGATAAAGAAAGAACAAAAAGTTAAAAGAAAGGAATAAAGTAGACAGAGAATAGGAGAAAGAAGGGATGGTAATAATTAGTCAGAGATTTAGAAAAAGAAGAAAGAATGAACAGAAAGAAATAGGTATATTTAAAGAGATTTAGAGCAAAAGGAAGCGATAGGTAGCGAAAGAAGAAGATAGGGTAACTCCGAAAGATAGAAATAAATAGAAAGAAAAAAAAGGAAAGGTGAAAAGAAAGAAATAGAAAGATATAGGGAACAGAGAAGATGGAATACGAGGGAGAGATAGAAATGGAGGTAGAGAAGAATAGATAAAGAAAGAAAGGAATGGAGGGCAAGATAGAGTAGATAGAGAAAAGGAGAGAAAAAAATTGAGAATGAAGGGATGGTTATAATTAGATAGAGATTTAGGAAAAAAAGAATAGAGAGAAAGGTGTAGAGATGATTAGAGAGATTTTGAGAAAAAGAAAGCGATAGATAGGGTAACAGGGAGAGATAGAACGGGAGATAGAGGTGAATTGATAGAGAAAGAAGGAAAGGTAAAAAGAAAGAAATAGAAAGGAGGATAGAGTAGATAGAGTAAATTAGAGAGAAAAAATTCAGAATGGTAATAATCAGATAAGTAATGATTTAAAGAAATAAGGAAGGATAGAGAAAGGGGATAGGAATAATTAGAGATTTAGAGAAAAGGAGATAAAGAGAGAAGGAGATAGGGCAGTAGGGAGAGATGAAAAAGAGATAGAAATGATTAGATAGAGAAAGAAGGAACAGTAAAGAGAAAGGCGATAGATTGGAAGATAGATTAAATAGAGAAAAAGAGAGAAAAGGATTGAGAAAGCAAGGAAGGTAATAATTAGATAATTAGAGATTTAGAAAAAGAATAAAGAATTGATAATCCGATTTAGAAAAAGGGATAGGGATAATCCGAAGGATTTCGACAAACAGAACGATATAGAGAGCAAAGGAGATAAGGTCATAGAGATAGAACGGTTGAAAAAGATGATTTGATAGAGAAAAAAGGTGAAGTAAAAAAAAGGGATTAATTGGGGGATAGATTAGATAGAGAAAAAGAGAAAGCAGAGATGGTAATAATTATATACTTAGCGATTTAGAGAAAAAGGAAGAATAAAGGAAAGGAGTAGGGATAATTAGAGCGATTTACAGGAAAAGAGAGAGAGAAGGAGATATGAAAATAGGAAGAGAGAGAAAGGGGGATAGGGATGAATTAAGAAAGTAAGAAGGAAAAGTAAAAAGAAAGGTATAGATTAGAGGGGGGTATAGATTAGATAGAGAAAGGAGTGATGGACAGAAAGAAAGCGATAGAGATAATCAGAGAGAAGGAACAAGAGAAAATGAAAGGAGTACATAGAGCGAGAAAGCAAAGTGTAGTAATAAAAAAAGAGACAAAGATATAAATAGATAAAAAGAACGAAAGCAAAATGAAAAAGTTAGAGATAAATAGATAGAGAAAAGAGAACGATAGATACAGATATAATACATATAAGAGAGGAAAATAAAAAAAAGAAGAAAAGAGATAAAGTGATAAGGAGAGATAGAGAAAAGAAGAGAGACAGAGCATTTTAGAAGAAATTAATAAGCAGTTTATTTTCTGCTATAATTATTATTAAAATAACAAAGTTATGTTCAAAACAATAAAACAGCCATGGAAAAAAATCAAAGCATGCAAAAACTATACATAAACCTAGAGCCTAGCCAAAATCTCACGATAATATTTATCAATATTAAAAATAAATAATTAACTGCAAATTGTATAATGCAAAATGCAACCTCATTAGAAGTTTCACTTCATAAATGAATTTATTAATGTGAGATTGAATTAATTTTGTACGTTTATTATATAAATATATTTTTTTTATTACACATTTCCTGTCTTTTATTTTATCATTCAATTAATTAAATTTAAAACAAAGTTTCTAATCAAATTTTAATCCTCCGTTCTATTTTTTAGGAATCGTGTGTTACTGGAAGCCCTATCCACCAAAGGATACAACATAACAGCCTTAAGTGTCGATATAGACCCCCCTAGCGACTCCAATCCTATTCATTATATACATTTAGAAGGTGCTTATGAAGCTTTATACAAAAACCAGAAGAAGTTTGACTTTTTAGAAATGGGCGCTCCAAAAGGTCTCCTTGGGGCTGTTACTGGTTTATCAATTATCGAAGATTATTATACAACGCTATCAAAGGCTACACTAGAGTCTGAGGGGTTTAGGAAGTTGTGGGAGTATCCGGATGATTTCAAGTGAGCAAGGGAATGATAGTAAATTAGAATTGTTAATGTAATTGTAATTTTCAAGAAGAATGAGTGTGCAGTAGATTGTTTTAAGTTGTTGTTTATAGTCAAAAAATGTTGTAGATAGTCCCAAAATTATGTAAGTTGTATAAAAATGTTGTGGAATGTCCCAAAATTTTGTAAATTGTGTAAAACTGTTGTAGATAGACTGAAAATATTGTAAATTGTCTGAAACTGTTGTATATTGTATAAGGATGTTATAGATAGTCTCATAATGTTATACATAGTCCAAAAATTTTGTAAATTGTTTAGAAATGTTGTATATAGTTTTAGAATATTATAGATTGTCTGAAAATATTGTAGATAGTCTCTATAGACTCTTATAAAAGTGTTGTACATAGCCCTAAAATTTTGTAGATTGTCTAAAGATGTTGTAAATCGTCTCAAAATATCGTAAATTGTCTGAAAATGTTGTAACTTGTCTGAAAATGTTGTAACTTGTCTGAAAATGTTGTAACTTGTCTGAAAATGTTGTAACTTGTCTGAAAATGCTGCAACTTGTCTGAAAATGTTGTAAGTTGTCTGAAAATGTTGTAAATTGTCTGAAAATTTTGTAAATCATCTGAAAATTTTGTATATTATTTGAAAATGTTGTAAGTTGTCTGAAAATCTCGTACATTGTCTGAAAATATTGTAAATAGTCTGAAAATCTTGTAGATAAACTCAAAATATTGTAAATAATCCTAAAATGTTGTAGATAGTCCTAAAATGTTGTAGATAGTACTAAAATGTGGTAGATAGTCCTAAAATGTGGTAGATAGTCCTAAAATGTGGTAGATAGTCCTAAAATGTTGTAGATAGTCCTAAAATGTTGTAGATAGTCCTAAAATGTTGTAGATTATCGGGAAATTTAGATTACCTGAAATTGTTTGGAAATGTTGCATGTAGTTAGTCTTAAAATATTGTAAATTATCTCAAAACGTTGTATATTATCTGAAAATGTAGTAAATTGCCAATGATACAGTTTGTGCAAACACACTAAAACATTCATCTTCTTCACAGATTTGATTTAATCCTATTCGACTACACGATTCTTCCAACTCTCTTGGGATTTGTTCATAAATTCAACTACCCCCCAGTGATAGGCTTGAGTGCCTTTGCAATGCCCCCATGCACTAGAGAAGTTAACGGGAGCCCTAACTTTCCATCAATCGTTCCTTTCTTTTCGAGCAAGTTTTCAGAGGACATGAACTTCTTGGAAAGAAGCTTTAATACACTCTTGTATTACACTGAACGATTTTACAGGTAAATAGGAATAGAAATATATATATATATATATATATATATATATAATGTGTGTATCTTTTTTTACAATTTATTTCTATTAAAGGCGCAAGGCTCTAAAAAACTCCCAAATGATGGCAGAGAAAGTGTATGGATTAGATTTTCCTTTCATTGAGAATTTGGAAGAAACAATTGACTTGGTTCTGGTCAACAGTCACACCTCGATGGAGGTCCCGAGTCCCAAGTTACCAGGTGTGGTGCACGTTGGTGGAATGCAGATAAAGGAGCCTCAACCGGTTCCAGAGGTAAGAGGAAAAGAAATATATTATATCGATGGAATAACTATGAACTTCTTCATTGAGTTAAGGAAAAAGTTTTTGTACAAATGGTATTGAACGATTTAAATATATATATATATATATATATATATATATATAATGGGTAGTACTGCCCTAGGGCAGGTCCTTGAATCACTAATTTTATGCAGGAAAGAATCGTGTGACAGATTTCCTATTTAATCAAAATTTTCAAGTAGAAATTGGTATCACTGCTGCATGATATCAGAGATTAAATATACATACACACATATATGAGCAGGATTATATAAATATTTGTCACAAATAGCAAATACATAAACCAATGAAGAGGAAATCAATAATTATTCATTAACCCGCTGTACTATATATAGTTCACAACTACAACTATTATATCTTTCTTAACATTCGATTAATATGAATGATGTATTCGACAAACTTATACAAAATGAAATAGTATATACTTATATAGTATAATAAATGTTGTTATTACTACTCGAATAAGTTTTGAATAGTACAGCAGGTTAAAGTTGGTATTGATAAATAGTATGGACTCACCTTGTTGAGCTTCGACTTCTCGATGACTCTGCACACTGGATGACTCTTTATGATGGGGACTCCTTAGAGGCCACGAGACACTTTTAATCACTTTTCTTCACTTTTAACTAACAATTTCACAACTAAAAATAATCAAACTATAAAACTTTCTTTATCACATCACTTTTTATAGGATGGTAGAAGTATGTTGAAACAATCATACTAAATACGATTTCCCGCGCAATACGCCACTGTACACAGGTCCCCGCACTTCAAAACACACTGATACTAACCCGCTTAATACACTTTGTAACACACTGAACCCACTTTACACACTCGCATAAAACGCGTTTTTTGTCAGTTCCCAAGAAAACGTGTCAAATAACGTATATTTTATAATAAAACGATTTCCCGCACAATACGCTACTGTACACAAGTCCCTGGACTTCAATACCCACTGACACTAACCCGCTTAATACACTTTTTCGCATAAAACGCGATTTTTATCCCTTCCTGAGGAAACGTGTCAAATAGCTTATAACGTCTTTTTTATAATGAAACGATTTCCCGCACAATACGCCACTGTACGCAAGTCCCCGCACTTTAAAACACGCTGACACTAACCCGCTTAATACACCTTTCCGCATAAAACGTGTTTTTTGTCAGTTCCAGAGAAAACGTGTCAAATAGGTTTTAACGTCTATTTTATAATAAAATGATTTCCCGCACAATACGCCACTGTACACAAGTCCCCGGACTTCAATACCCACTGACACTAACCCGCTTAATACACTTTTTCGCATAAAACGCGATTTTTATCCCTTCCTGAGAAAACGTGTCAAATAGGTTATAACGTCTTTTTTATAATAAAACCATTCCCCGCACAATACGCCACCGTATACCAGTCTATGCACTTTGAAACATATGGACACTAACCAGCTTAATACACTTTTTCGCATAAAACACGTTTTTCCGAGAAAACGTGTTAAGTAGGTTATAACGTCTATTTTATAACAAAACGTCTGTCGATCTAATAAGATTCAAATAAGCACATGTTTTTTCATTATTACCCTTTTCTTTAATATAGTTTAAGAATATCATTTTTATTAAAATTATACCACGTGTTTGTAATATTCGTCCATTTTGTTACATTTTACATTTCTGTCAAAAATTTGTATTAAAACTAAATAATTGTGCAACAAATCTGAGGGTAGCAGCGAGTAAAGGTATGTCACACAGTTGTTTGAAAAGTTAAGGTTTGCCAACAGCGTTTTTTTTTTGATACGTAAACATTTTTCATAACATTTTAGTTGTTTTTATTAAAATTTATGCAAGTTGATAAGTAATTAAACATCTTTGCAATATTTTATTAAATTATTTATCAAACCAAATAATTTATTTCAATAATTTCTGATTCAATAATCTTGTAACTGCTTGTAATTAATTAAGTGTTAAAATTATTTTGATAAAGGTACATTCACACAGTTGTTTTGAAAAGTTAATGTTTACAACAGCATTTTTTGTGTTGTGTCATGACATTTTAGTTGTTTTTATAAAATTTTATGCAAGTTGAAAAATAAATAAACATTTTCTCATTAGATTTAATTTAACAATAACTATTTGTAATTAATTAACTGTTAAAATTATTTTGATAAAGGTACATTCACACAGTTGTTTTTTTGAAAAGTTAATGTTCACCAACATCGTTTTTTGTTACTTAAACGTTGTTCGTGACATTTTAGCTGTTTTTATTAAAAAATATGAGACTGATAAATAAATATTACATTTTTGCAATATTTTTTTATTAAATTTAATTTTAACAACTATCTTGTAATCATATACTCTTCTTTTATCTATGCTTGTAAAATTATTTTATTAATGGCACAATCACACAGCTGTTTAAAAAGTTTAAAAGGTTTTCCAACAGCATTTTTTATGTTACTTGCCACAGTTCATGACATTTTAGTTGTCTTTATTAAAATTTATTCAAGTTGATAGATAAATATTTTGGCAAGAGCTTGTATTAAAATTTATACAAGTTATGCAATATTTTTGTTACAGTATTTATTAAATTTAATTTTATCAAAAACTATCTTGTAATTAATTAACTCTTAAAATGATTTTATAAATGTATGTCACACAGTAATTTGAACGTTTGAACAAAGAAGTTAATGTTTGTAAATAGAATTTTTTATGTTTCTTAATGTGAACATAATAATACATGATATTTTAGTTGCTTTTATTAAAATTTATGCAAGTTAATAGATAAACTAGTGGTGTATGGCATCGTGCCTTAAGGCAAATTGCTAGAACTTCTCGTACCGTAACGAAATGATTGAGGAATATTAGATGTTTTCAAATAGATTATTATATATAAATACTGTAACATTGTCTAATATTTATAAGAATTATATAAACTGAATTCCAAAGTTGAAAATATTTGGTTAAAATATATTAGAACTTAAGTCAGAATTACAATTAAAATCTGAATAATTTTCGATACACAAAAAAAATAAATTGAAACAAAAATTTTTTCTACAAAAGCAATTATTTTTGTTAAAACAAGCGGAAGTTCTTTGAATCATTCAAATCGGGACGCTTAGTTCTCTCAAAAATGTGCCATTTTTTGCACATTTAGCTCTGTATCTCCGAAACCGCAGGACCTGCCTTTGCCAAAAACTAATCACCACCTTTCCCGTCATTATGAATTGAATGCTTTCTTGATCATCATCGAATGTTTTTTGAGCTATTCAATTGGTTGATCCGTGCGCCCGAAAACGTAAACAAAAAAATACGGACCCATAAAAAACACACACAACACATACAACCATCATTTTTTCTGGGGTATGCCAAAATGTTCAGAAACCTTCAAAACGTCGAGAAATGTAAAAAATTTCATTTTTGATTTTCGGCCTATTACTATAACTACCCTACGGGAAGTTAATAAATAATTTTAACTTTGTAATTTAGTTTATATAGTTCTCATACATATTGGACATGTTACAGAATTTATAATAATTAGTGCAGTAAACGGAGAGGGAAAAAGGTTATAACCTCTGAATTTTTTTACTGTGCTCCGAATTGAATGAAATTTTGGAATTAGGTTCATCTTACCCCAAGTTCAAAACTGAAAACGATTCGGGTTGCGCCATCACCCCCCAGGGGGATGACACCCCCTCTCAATTGTGTAATTACATTTTTTCAAAATAACGTCGGAAACCGATAGAAGAACTAATTATAAGAAAAAAATGTCTTTTATAGTTTTTCAAAAAACTAATACTTTTCAAGTTACTGCCACTAAATATTCATATATTTTTGGTGTTTTTTTCTTCGTTTTTTTTGCAATATCTCCTAAAATATACATTTTAGCGAAAATCATGTTATGAACAAAATAATGTCAATAAAAATCTTAATATTTCGGTATTACATAAAGTGTTCTAGGAAAAATATTAAGCAAGATTTGAAAGAGCAAAATCGTTTTTTATTTCGTTCAAGATTTAATTGTTGTATTTAAAGCCATCTAGTGTCGAGGTTTTACATTTTATGCATTTCGGTGAAATTGGGTTTTATAGTGCTTAACATAAGCTTTAAAATGAGTGCTGTTACAAGATTTTGCGTGTAAAATGATTGAGCTATCATGCAAATAAGAAGCATATACGATGGTTTTTTCTTCTAAATCATATGGTTTAATGAGCGCCGTTTCCACCAGAATTAAAGTAATTCACATTCCATCTATAATTCACTTCATTATAGACCTCCTTGATGGATTCTAGCAGATTCACTATTTTAGTACAAACTATTTTCAGAAAACTCACGATTTTATAAAAACTTTTTTTTCAATTTGCGCGGCCGCGCAGAGTCTTTAAACATTCATAACTCTGTCAATTTTGTGTGAAAGAAAAATAATAAATAACAAAAATAAGCCAGAAAGATCCCTTTGATTTTTATCTATATGCTTTTATACGTATCTTTTTTTTGAGATATAATGAAAATATTTCGATTTTTTTAAAAATTTTAAAAAAAAGTTTTTATAAAAATCGTGAGTTTTCTGAACATAGTTTGTACTAAAGTAGTGAATCTGCTAGAATCCATCAAGATGTCTATAATGAAGTGAATTCTAGATGGAATGTGAATAACTTTAATTCTGGTGAAATGGCGCTCATTAAACCATGTGATTTAAAAGAAAAAAACTTCGTATATGCTTCTTATTTGCACGATAGCTCACTCATTTTACACGTAAAAAACTTGTAACAGCACTCATTTTAAAGCTTATGT